CGAGACAGACCGAGACCGAGACAGACCGAGACCGAGACAGACCAAGACCGAGACAGACCGAGACGGAACGAGACCGAGACCGAGACCGAGTTCTCGGTCTCGGTACATCCCTAATCCCCGTCGTATCCTCCGTATCGCCATTGTATCCTGTGTATGTTGACCATATCCCGGATACGAGGATCCCTCATATCCGATATACGATTAGGATAGCGCGGGAATACGGAGGATACAATGGAGATACGAGGGATACGGCGAGAATACAGAGGATACGATGGGAATACGGAGGATACAACGGGGATACGTAGGGTACAATGAAAATACGAAGGATATAATGGATTACAGAGAATATGATAGACATACGAAGGAAATCAAAAGGATACCAAGAATACTATGATTTACTTTTTCTTCTTGATGGAAAATGATGGCATGGAATATACTGAAGACGATAAGCAGGAGTTACACCTTTTTGTGCTATAACATTTGACTCAGCCGACGGTTTCGCGCCTATTAAGAGAGCGCTCAATGCAAGGGGGAAAAAGCGGATTCTGTGTATCGGTGATACGGTGGCGATACGCACGATACATACGATACGTACAATACGGTGACGATACATACGATACAGACAATACGATTACAATCCAGATAATATATGTAGAACTAAGAAGTAGAGTGCACCAGTCCGACTGGGTCCTCCTATCTATCCTAGGAGGGGTACTCGGGTACTCATCTGCCTATTCTAGGGGAGGTCTCAGGTCCTCAAGTCTTATATTGTGGGGGTATCCATAGGTCCTTATATCCTATATTCTAAGGGTACCCTTGGGTCCTTATATCCTATGTTCTGCGGGTACGTTCAGGTCCTCAAGTGGTCTATTCTGGGGTACCCTCGGGTCCTTATACTCTATATTCTGGGGATACCTTCAGGTCCTCAAGTCCTATATTGAGAGAGTACTCTTAGATCCTCAAGTCCTATATTCGGAGGGTACCTATAGGTCCTCAAGTCCTATATTGGGAGGGTATCCTTAGGTCCTCAAGT